GGGGGGGGGGGGGTAATCGTTTGAGCCGAAAATAAAGGTTCCAATTCTAGGGTTATGATGTTAAGGAAACCCTGGAAAGTCTTGCTAATTTGCTTCAGCTTCTATATTACATGTCTTACTCGTCCAACTCTACGCCCAGGCAGAGTGCACCTGCCTTGCACACGCCTGATAAGCCGGCAACTCAACCGTAGCTTGCAGAAGGGGCCCCCGAAGTCGAGCCAAATTCCTAGAAATGCCGAGTCCAACAGCAGATCTCACCAGCCACAAAAAAAACAACAACAATAGAGGCGCGCCCAAAAACAGGCAACGAAGCACAGGCCAGTAAGAGCCCTTATAGGAACCTTTGCAGGAATCCCTAAACCCTAAACCNNACAGGATCCCTGAAAGAGCGCTTCAACAAAACAAAAAAAAGGAGCGGCGAAGTCGACCGACCCGGCGCCTGGAGTCCCACAGCTGAGCCCGAGAGGAAGCATCGATTAACCTTCCACTTCGAGAGGAACGAGAGGAAGGCTCAGAGGTTTCTTAAGCGCTCTTAGAACCAGTATCAAAATAATTGCTTCCATAATTCCGCCTTAGAAGCATAATCAAAATAATTGCTTTCATAACTCCTGCAAGTTCTATGTATACTGGAAAGAAGGTTTAGGGTGGGTGGGGGGGAGATGTAGTTTTTTTCTTGTGAGAAAATTTGGGGCTCAGGGCCCGTAGGGCCTTTAGGGGCGATACTGTTGGGTCTCGGTGTCAGGGCTTTCGGGGTTTATCGTCTGAGGGTTCAGGGCTTTAGTGCTTTCAAAGTTTAGAGTGTGGCTGCTGATGTATACACCTGTTAACATATATACATATTATGTATATATGNNTATATATGTATATACACATACATGCATACATACATACATACATACATACATACATAACTTCGCGATTGAAGGACTCAGGGTTGAAGCTTCGGGGTGTAGGGCTTTAGAGTTGAGGGGGTGAGGGTTTTGGAGTTTTGAGAAAGCTCCAGGGCTCTTTAGGCTTCAGGGTTTAGGGCTTAGGGTCTTTGTGTGGCTTAGTGTTTGATAGGGTTTAGGGTTTCTAGGGGTTTAGGGTTTAGGGCTTAGGGCTTTTGTGTGGCTTAGTGCTTGATAGGGCTTGTGGCGATTGAGCTCTAGGGTTTAGGGGTAGTACTTGCAGGTTCATGGGTAGTTAGTTATAAGTCCGCTATTAACTATCGTTGCCCTACTTATAACCCCACTTATAACTACCCCCAAACCCTAAACCCTAAAAAGCCCTATAGAACCCTTTAAAGGAACCCCATAACCCCACTTATAACTACTATTGAACCTCCAAGTAAGTCTTGTAGGAGTCTGGCCTGCACGGAGCCCCTGGCCACTGGAGCCAACGTGCGCCTCCCGGCTCGCGGCTTTGGATTGTTTAGGGTTTAGGGGTTTAGGGTTTAGGGTTTATAGGGTTTAGGGTTTAGGGTTTAGGGTTCGGATTGATGTTCCCAAAGGGTCCACGTACTACCATAGTAGATACTTAGTAGATATACGGGCCCCAAAAGTATGTACTATACTATTACTGGGACCCTTTGGGGCTTGGCGGTCTTTAGGACTCAAGACGCAGGCATTATACGCGATTATCATAGATGGGTGTGTAGATTCTGCCATTCCCGCAAGACCCCGCGCATGCTCTCCCTGCAATCACCAGCTTGAATCCAATTGCTGCTGAAATTATAGCTTACCGACTTAACCCTGCAAGGGATCGCTCAAGCATGCTCATTGCACCTCACGGATTTCGGAGGACAGAAATCATGACAAGTTTGGATTCCCAGGACACATGGGCTGGCATGCACTGCTCCAGCATACGACCACAAAACCTTGCAGAGATCCCGAGACTATAACCTTTAAGCACAACTTGCTACAGGTGGTCTGAGGGTCCGAACGCAGCTCTGGGTCCCAATGCGGCCAGAAAAGCCATGGTGAAGAGGACCTGCTCACAGTCGCATGACAGTATGAGCTCGAAGCTTTGTCAGGCGTATACAACTTACTTTAACCGGAACCCCCAAACTAACTCCTATGTTCTGGGGCACTCTGAGTGGTCCTCAGAAGTGTCGGGTTGAGGCTCGTAAGGTGTTGGAGTGCGGACTTTCGGGATTTGGCTTTGATGGGCTCAGAGCCGCTGGTGTTTTGGGAGTGTTGGGCAGGGCTTTTCCGTTACGGAGTTCCGAGTCTGAAGAGTTTAAAGGTGCCTTAGTGATCAGAATTGAGCTCTTGAGACATATCATACCGTAGTGAACCAAGTTTGTGTAGCCTCAAGAAACAGTACAGTGCTAAATACTTCTTCAGGCCTCTATTCCGGGGATATCACAGTATGGAGTATGTAGTCATAGACGGACTCATGAGGGGAAACGTTCCATAATTATTCACATCCGTGCAGTACAAGAGCCGAAATGATTAGAGTAGAGCTTTTGGTTATATTGAAGCACATGTTCAGGCCCCAATGTTGCAGGTGTGTCATACAGTCTAATCATACAAGGAAAGGGGAACCCTAAGCCCGTAAACCCTAAACCGGCCTTCTTCTGACCCCTGCAGTGCAATCATTGCTTGTCGGACCCAGGAGGGAAGAGCGCTGAACATTTGCCCACTTTAGGGGGGCCTAAATACTTGCCAATACTATTTTGAGGCCCCCTTTATTGCAACTCTTGATTGCTTTGACAGAGATCAAGCGGTTTAGGTTCTAGGGCTTCTGCAGTTTATGGCGCTTCGGGTTTAGGTTTTCTCGTGGACATCTAATGCTGCACAGATCTGCATCGGCGTAGGCTTGCCTGATCGTTGCAGGGGCATCCCGTTCTAGGAGATTCACGGCTTGGGGGTTTGTCCAAGTCTGGGCCAAGGCTTTGTTTGGGGAATTCCCCCGGATGGCAAACTTGACACGACACTACTCCACTTCCTACACTCCCCCCCCCCCCTCCCCGGCCTTTTTTGCGAAGGCAAAAGGTATATGTCGACTCTGCATGGGCCAGCGGGGCTGCGGCAAACAACCACAAATCTCGGCACCTGAATGTGCAGCATGCTTTTCAGAGCTGACAGGAGGAAAGCGCAACAAGGGGGCTGCATTTGGATTCCAGCCTGATCGAACTCCTGAAAAAACCAACAGCCCCTAACCCCTAAAGCCTAAATATGTAGGTGTGAGTTTCGGTGTAGAGCGTGGAGGGTTCAAGATTTCGGGAGCTCCTTGACGCCCCAAGCCGAACAGAAGGCACTCTAGCTGCAGAAGACAAGGGTTTAGGCCTTGAACGAAAACTTCGGGGCTTATAGCTTATCTGCACTCGTGGTCTACTTAAGAAACACAGGCAGCATTCATAGAAGTGCTTGTCTGGTGTTGCTGTCGGCGGTGTGAGTACGCAGTAGTATCGGCTGCTGGTAGCCGCCGTCGAAGCGATGGCAGAAGCCGCGCGAATACTTAGCAAGCAGAGCGGCACACAAAAAGACAAGTCACGAAGGCAGGAGTTCGAGCACATCGTGCCACTTATTTTCCAGCGAAGCAGCGTACTGCCGGTTGGTGCTGCGAGGAGTGCAAGTGAGAAATATCGACATTCGATTCTGCCTCTGCTGCCAGCCAAATGCCCCTACACTACACCAAGCCCTGAAATCCCAACGATGTAGCTGGGCGTAAACAGGATGATACTTCACAATTCGTTGCAAGTCGGATCATCTGCCCGTCCGCACTCTCTTCCTCATCTTTCGCATCACCTAAGCTGCACACGGACCTCTCGGAAGTGAAGGGGCTCTCGCTCCACAACTGAACCCGTCAGTATGTTGCATAAGGACCGCAAACGCGAGCTAGCAGCGCCTGTTCAGTTTGAAGCCCTGACCGCTGATTTACAGCAAGACAACCGAAATGTCGCCGGTAGGGGGGGAGCGCAAATCTACCACTAGTTACTGCTGGTGCTGCTAGGATAACACTCAAAAGGGTTGATTAGTACGAGTACTGGTACTTGTACTAGTTCCTAGTACACGTACAACGACGACTACTTTTTACAATTCTACAACACCAGCACCACCAGCGCTCCCGCGGCTCCTAATACTACTACTACTACTACTACTACTACTACTACTACTACTACTGCTACTCCGACTACCACTAGCACTAGCACTAGCACTAGCAGTAGCACTGGCACTGGCACTGGCACTGGCACTGGCACTGGCACTGGCACTAGCACTAGCACTAGCACTAGCACTAGCACTACCACTACCACTACCACCACGACGACGACCACGACTACGACTACGACTACGACTACGACTACGACTACGACTACTACTACTACTACTACCACCACTACCACTACCCCACTCCTCCTCCTACTGCTGCTACAGTTCTACTACTACCACTACCATCCTTTTGAAAACCTTAGTACATGGCCAGGGGCGCTGCAGCATAACCCCCGCTTGACCCTGCAAATCCATGTAACCCCAAACCCAAATCAAAAAGATGTGTCCGGACATCCCCATGTATCCACTGCACCCTAAACGACAAAATCTATCCGGACAGCCTAAGCCTAAACCCTACACCCCTAAACCCCACAACAATATCCGGATATACCCTCACCCTCTACACCCTGAACCCTGCACCCCACTTGGAGGTTCATGGGTAGTTATAAGTGGGGTTATAAGTAGGGTAACTATAGTTATAACCCATATTAGGGGGCCTATAACCCCACAAACCCCTAAAAAACCCTGTAGAACCCTATAAAGGACCCTTAAAGGAACCCTACTTATAACTACCCATGAACCTCCAAGTAACCCCCAGCAAAGGTATCCGGATCAGAGGCCCGGGCTAAGCCCCGCGGTCGGCAGCCTTTGTTCGCCGGCTTCGGGATGCGGGCCATGGGGGATCGATTGGCACCTGGGCTTAGGGTTTAGGGGTTGAGGGTTTAGGGCTGTAGGGGTTTAGGGTTTCGGNNTCAGGCTTCTAAGGTTTAGGGTTTAGCGCCGGTTTCGGTGTGGTTCAGGTGCCTGGCTTCGGGCCAGGGGGCTCTCTTAGTCAAACAACGACTGAAGTCCCTGAAATCTTGACTCAGCACAACTTCCACATGTGAGTTCCTCCAACATTCACATTTTGGCTGCCAGTGTAGCTCACGAACAACCTTGAACACCAGGATTTCAATGCCCCTTCTATCCAGAACCTTCCCTAAACCCTAAACC